GGCCCGAGCCCGACAGAATTTTAAATTTCTAGGCCCGGCCCGACCCGGCCCGAAAGAGATACGGCCCGGGCCCGGCCCGAGCCCGACAGAATTGTTAATTTCAAGGCCCCGCCCGACCCGGCCCGATGGCTGTAGCCCGAAACAACCCATTTCCGTTTGAGCCCGTCCTGTTTCGACCCGCTCCCGAAACGAGCTCCCCATTTGAACCCGTCCTGTTTCGACCCATTCTTTAAACACCCTTCCCATATGAACCCGTCCCGTTTCGACCAGTTCCCTAAACGCCCTTCTCGTTTGAATTTGTCCTGTTTCGATTTATTCCCTAAACGCCCTTCTTATTTGAACCAGTTTCCGAAACACCCTTTGCGTTTGAACGTGTCCCGTTTCAACCTACTTTTATAAGGCCCTGCACATCGCAACCTCTTCGCAAAAAGTCTCCATCGTTCTAAGCCTAGTCTGCGCACCTTTTCTGTTTAAGAATATGTTCTGAAGTAGCTTTACATGTCAACGCGTTCTTAAAATATACAACCCTTTCAGGCAAGCTTAAGTTTAATATATTCCTAGTTAACCCCTTAAAACGTTTGTTTCAAGATGGTTCCCAAAACGTGCAAGCGCGGAACGGACGTTGTACAGTGCGCGACACTGATACCGCGAACAGGACGTTGGCTCTTTTTTCGAATTTTACTTCGAAATGGTTTTAGTAGGCACCAAAGTATACCGCTTAGGTCTGTGGCCCAGATAAGCACTTCTAAAGACACTAATAGTTTTGAAAACAGCGTTTTGATTCTATGAGATAAGCATAAAAACACGACGATCGCTTGTTCGCGCTAATATAGTGTCGCTCTCTGTGCAATAAGGGAGTCTTAGAATAACGTACTCAAGCACTTTGGGCAAGCTAAAATTAGCATCGCCATAGGTTTTACATCGCAACGCTATTTTTACGGTACCCAAAGCGCTTACGTACGTTTTTCTAAATCTTCCTAATAGTGAACTAGATATTTTTGAGAGCGATGAATCAGACAGGCTGACAAGCATATGACTGGGACTTTATTTTGTTTACAACTTATAACACAACCCTCGCTCACACGGAAAAAGCTTGGAGGCTTTCTAGGTTCAAGATGTCTTTTAGTTATTATTTTTAACGGCGCTGTAGTGAATTTGCACTTCGCTTTTTTTGTATTCAATGAACCTAAAAGATTAATGAGCAAACTTCTAGCTATCAACAACAATTTATGATTTACGGCATAAAATTGCCCAGGCACGGCTCGAGGACTTTTTTGTTCAAGCCCGAGCCCGGCCCGGGCCCGAGAAAATACGTGCTACCCGGCCCGAGCCCGGCCCGCGGGCCGGGCCGGGCTCGGGCTTTCGGGCTGGCCCGGGCCCGTGCAGTGCTCTAGTTCACGTCTCCGTGTCGATCATTCAACTCCTGGATCTCGGCACTCTGACTACGCCGACACTCCAACGAAGAAAACTTGTTCTCCCACCTCGGAAGGACGGAAGAAAAGGCGATTTGCATCGCCGGACTGCGTTCCAAGATCTGAGCGGCCAGCCGACGGTATTTGTAACGTACGGCCAAATTCGAGCAGGGTGTCAGACACCTTGGAAAACAAAGCCTCGATCCTAATGCCTCTAAACGCCTCTAAACGCTTCGTCCACGCAGGAAGTGACGTAGCGCGTGGAGGGAGCCTTATCTCCTCCCGACGTGGCTACGCCCCCGCGCGTGGATGTAGACACTCCCCTAAAATAAAGCCTGCGCATCCGATTTTTTTTATGTCATCCCAATAAGATCGAAGAAAAAAAAAAAAATGACAGGGCAGTAAATTTATGGTCAAGGCAAATTGGTAGAAACTACAGGAGTGATATATGAATAGGGGCGTTGCGAACCGGCCGAGGTTCGAGGTCGACCAGGTTCGACTTTTTCGAACCTTTAGTGAAAAGTTCGGCGAACCTTGTATTGAGGTTCGACTCGTGTGCGCATGCGCGACAGGCAGGCCAGTTGGCTTCGGATTGGATGGTGATGGCTAAGGGATGAATCAAGGGCAGCGCTGATTGGTTCGTTTAGTTAATTCAGTACAAAAAATTAAGTTATTAACTTCTTCAGTAATAAGAATTAATTTCTTTTAATTGCAACTGTTCATAAAATAAAATAGCCCATTACATACAAAAAAAATTCTCCAAACCTAGACATGCTTGTATCAAGGTCTGGCCACAGTGTCTACAAAGTCGAACCGGTCGAATCTGGTGAAAAGTTCGAAGGTTCGTCGAACCGGTTCAACCCAGTTGAACCCCGAAAGTTCGACCTAAAAATCCGGTTCAACAAAAGTTCGCGACACCCCTATACATGAATGCATTGCGGAGGGCAAGTTCGTCTGCTTCTTGCGCAGGGGGCAACGTTGGCAGGGGGTAGTGGTGATGTCAAAACGCCGGGCCCCGATTGGCTGATCGAGACCCCCTATCTAAGCGTTATCTGCTCGCAACGCCGTCTGCGTCCGTCTTACCTTTCCTGAAACTTTCGGAAGTGCAGGTCTTTACGAGCGAGCTCGACTTCGCCTTTCAGAGAGGGCAGACGAAGTAACTCGAGCGGTACGTTGTTTTTGTCTAACAACTAGCAGACGCGCATCAAGGAGATAAGTCAAAGGACTCTCTGACGAGGTCTCCCGAGGCGCCGAGGTTTGTTTGCCAAGACCCGAGAGTGAGGGTGGTTAGTGTCCGCAAGTTCCCTCCCAAATACTTTTTCCCTCCTTTCGAGTGCGGCTTGGTGTTTGGTGTGGCAAGACTCCTCACTCTTTAATGGTGACGGCGGGTTGGCGCGGTTAACGCTGTCTGCTTTACGTCTGCTAGTCAAAGCGACAGCTGCTTTACCTTTCCTACGTCTGTCGGAGATTCACTGCTTTTTCACCGGCGGCTCGAAATGGACTGTCCAAGACGGACCTTACACAGCAGTGGCTGCAACATCACAAGAGCAGCATGCCGCGGCAGGTCGCTCGCTCAGGTAAGAAGTAAACACCATGTTCTTCGCTATGTTAATAACGTTTAGTTGCACGAGTTTCGTGATTGGCACCTCACATTTAATGAGTTGTTCAAAGATAATCAGCTAAAGACAGATGACAGCCGATATAGACTGCAAATAAACAAATGCGGCTGTGCGATCGGTAGTGCGAGCACATCATAGCCCGAAAGTGCTCAATCGTTGCTTGTTGTCACAACTTTCTCGCTCAACTAAAAGGCTGTTGTCAGTTAGCGTATTGGGGTATGTGTGTGTGACGTAAACCCAAGTGGCAAAAGTTTGAAAACCTGTGCTAACCTGTGGAAGAGAATCCGAGCAAGATCGATCTAGCTAGCTACCCGAGCGGCGTCGGACGTATCGCGGAAGTTATGTCGTAGACTCGTTGACACCAAGACGTAATTATTGTGGAAACTAATGCAATTAAATGCAAAGGTGCAAGCGAGCTGGACAAGAATGACGAGAACAATCCCTGGAGAAGGGGAGCAAGAGGGACAAAGGACAAGCACAAATCTTTTTGTGAAGGCCGCATTCTCGCCGGTGAAAAAGCGGTGAATCTCCGACAGACGCAGGAAAGGTAAAGCAGCCATTGATCTGGCTAGCAGGCATAAAGCAGATGACGTTAACTGCGCCAACCCGCCTTCGCCGTTAAAGAGTGAGGAGGGAAAAAGTATTTGGGAGGGAACTTGCGGACACTAACCACCCTCACTCTCGGTTCTTAGCAAACAAACCTCAGCGCCTCGGGACACCTCGCCAGTCAGTCCTTTGACTACTCTCGTTGATGCGCGTCCGCTAGTTGTTCGACAAAAGCAACATACTGCTCGAGTTATTTTGTCTGCCCTCTCTGAAAGGCGAAGTCGTGCTCACTCGTAAAGACCTGCACTTGCAAAAGTCGCAGGAAAGGTAAGACAGATGCAGACAACGTTGCAGAGGAGCAGATGACGCTCAGATAGGGGGTCGCGATCAGCCAATCAGGGCTTGGAATTCCGACGTCATCGCTACCCCCTGCGCAAGAAGCAGATGAACCTGCCCTCCGCATAGCATTTATCGTTGCATACCGCCAAATTTAGCGGGGAAACTGAATTGGTGTATAGGTTGCGACGTCAATTTTTTTGCTAAATTTAGCGAGGAAACTTCATGCAAAATCCTCGAGATCAGCCTAGAGGTCGTCCTTGATGTCGTCTAGGACGACACCAAAGGCATCTGAAACCACCTCTGAGACAACCTCTAGGACGTCAAAGATGCTGTCTATGGCAACCTCTTGGGTGATCTCAAGGACGATGTCCTAGAGGACATCTAGGACGACGTCAAGGTCGTCGGGTCCTTCGAAGAGGGTGCGAATGTGAAGGAAAGCGTACTGCCGCTCTGCATACGCGCGACGCAGTGGGGTGCAAGCACAGTGAGCTTAAATGGTATAGTGCACATACCTGCTGCACATTAGGAGGCCAGAATATACATAGCTGAAAAATTTGAAGTAGCTTAATAATGCTATTGCACTAAATAAAGGCCGGCCTCTAGAATGATCTCTAAAATGACCTCAAAGACGTCAAATACAATGTCTAGGAAGACTTCCAGGACAACCTCTAAGACAATGTCTAGGAAGACTTCCAGGACAACCTCTAGGACAATGTCAAGGTCATCAGGTCCTTCGAAGAGGGTATGAATGTGAAGGAGTGTGTACTGCCGCTCCACATACATGCCACGCAATGAGGTGCAAGCACAGCGAGCTTAAATGTACTGTGCATACCTACTGCGTATTAGGAGGCCAGAATATACATAGCTGAAAATATTTAGTAGTTTAATAATGCTATCGCATAAAAACAACCTTGTAGCACGAAATAAGCACATGCGTGGCAGTGAATTCTGCGCGACAGAACTAAGAGTGCGAGGAATATATCTTATGAAAAGTACACTTTTTCTTTTTACATCGAGACAACAAACAAGTTTGCCAACAACATGTAGCCAAACTCTTCATAGCAGTGGGGAAGTTTAAAATAAATAGTGCAACAGAAACAATGATTTTATTTACATTTGTACACAAAAATTTACACAATGTTAGAGAGAAGCAAAGAGTGCAAAGAACTCTACAACTGTGATCGGAATTGGAAGAAAAACCTAGGTACCATGCATCCAGAAACTTTGTTCAAACATAAATTGCCGCAATGCCCAATAAAGTCTACAGCTTCGGGCAGACTTGTTCTCACAAATCGACAAACTAAAGCTAAGGGTGCCTCGAAGTTACAAGGCCAGTGTCTTAAGGAAAACAGCAAAGGAGAATTGATAACATCCCCAAAAAAAGAGATGTTCGAAACCGTAGAAAAACGGGTCGCTAAACCTAGCACACGCAGCTAGCACACGCAACTGCAAACTAAACAAAATCGAGTTAGGAAGGAAGAGGGTGGGGAACAGCACCCTAGCGAGTAAGTTAGTTTGTTCGAGGACGTGGAAGCCCAAGTAAAAAAAAGAAAAAAAAAAAAAGAAAAATAGGGACCCCATCTTTCTGCCTAATCCCAAAGCAAAAAAAAAGACGCAAAACTTTTAGTTTGCATCTTAAGTGCCGCTCCGACACAGGCACAGATTGTCTGACGACTTTTCCAGCGGCCCGACGGCAACCAAACTTCCGGGCTGACGCACGAACGTGATTCCCTTTGCACGTGCGTGCATGTCTTGCACTAACTACAGACATGATAGCTGCCAGCTGGCACAAAACCAAACCGGCCTGGCGAAGACGCAGGTCGGTCAAGGCCGCGCCCAGAAGGACTGCGAGTTGAGAAGGAAAGAAAGGAGGCTAAGAGGCGGAAGAGAGGGCAGCCTCCAGCTGTCCGCTGGCAGTAAGGCGGCGCATGGCGGTCTCAAAGGCAGCCCCAAGGTCGGGCAGGCGTGGGACGGTCAGGGGGGCGACCGCAGGGACGGGGAGCTCTGCCCCGGGGTCCAACAGCTTACTGAGCAGTTCCTGTAGCCGCTCCTGCTTCTCTTCTGCAAGCAATCCAACGTTTCATGTTACCGCTCCCGTCTCAGCCACAACAGAGATTAAAGGGCCGTTCCGTTCAATTTTCTAGATATTGGGAAACAGTGTATGCACCCTTCTCTTTGGGTCACGGTGGAATAGAAAAAGCAACCTCATACTGGTATGCTAGGCTGCATTTTCTCCCGGCACGTCGTCTGCTGCAGGGGTGGTTTCCTGATAAATGCGGATGTGTCTCCCAGTGGCTAATATAACCATGTGATTCTGTGAAGATTGTGATTAGTCTATCTATGCCGTCGGCCGTCAAAACTAAGTAAAACAACAGCGGAACAAAAAAAAAGCGCGCAAGTACCCTTCCAGCTACTCCGCGGGTAAAGCCATTTCGCGGGGCTCAATTCTGCTTGTGATTTTCGTGATTTTCAGTTGCAACATTACTAGCTCGAGCGAAAACAAATGGATAAAAGCCGTGGATGGTGACTTATGTGCATGAGTACTGAGTATGGTATCCACAAGCTCTTTGCCGCACGAGAATGAAAATCGCAAGCAGAATTGTGCCACGTAAAACGGGCTCAATGCTGAAAATGTGTGTGCAACTTTCAACTGACATTTTTTCAAAATAGATTTTTCCGCTAGCACTGGCGCTCATCCCTGCGATATCTCGGAAACTGTTTAATAAATTTGCGTGCAGTTTTTTTTATTCTGTTCCTAAATCACTTCTTGAGCGCATGACAAGCTTCCTTTCTTAAAAAAATAGTGTTAAAATTTTATAATACTCAAATTAAATTTGATGGATGAGAATATGACCAACAATATGAAATTGAATGTTGTGCAAAAAATGTTTTGAAAAGAAATTAATAAAAAGGGCCTTGTCATACACTGGGGTGCCTATGTAGGAATGCTTATAATAAATTTCACATTCACACTGTGTTTTGCTATTTCTCCAGGCCTGGGATAAAGGAAGCAAGTGAACCATACTGAAAAAGCTTTTGTAAATTAGAACCCCTGGGCACAGCTTTATGAAACATCGCAATTACTCTTATATATGTGCTATGAATGTACCCTAAAATTTCATACAGAAAGCTCTAAAATAATAAAGTTTAGGTTCCATGCCAGCTTCCTTCTTAAGGGGGGACACTACCCAAAAAAGTAAATTTTTGAACCACTTGTCTGATTTAAATTATATTTACAGGGCTTGTTTCTGTTGATGTTGAGAACATTTCTACCAAATTTTATTAACCTGGGTGAAGTACAAAAAAAAAACTGCAACCACTCAAAGATGAAACTGGGCGTGCCTGCGTAGGAAAACTATCGTTTTGAAATTACTTATAAATTTGCCGTTTTCATGTGTTATATTGCATTAGGACAGTTCAGAGCAGATAACTATGGAGCTATATTTCTATGTTATACCATCTTTCATGACAAAAAAGCCACATAAGCACAAATACAGTTTTCTTGATTTGCATCCTTTGTCCAAAATTTTTGTTTTTGAGCATGAAAGATGACAAAAATAAAAAAATACAAGCTCATAGTTATCTTCCCCTTCAAATTTCACCCCAGAAAAACTCATAAAATGAATCCAAGTTATGTAGTAACAGAACAATATTTTTCCTGAAGTGAAATTTATGCCAGAAAGTGGAATGGATGAAAGTGTGTTCAAAGTGCTCTACCTTTTCTCATCATTCAACATCATCAACCTCTACCTTTTCTTCATCATTTGTGGACCGAAAATAATTTATAAAAAATTAACTATGCAGTAAAATCTAATGAAACTTTTTGGGAATACCCTCTAGATGCTGGTGTATGTAAATAGACATCTTTCAAAATGACAGTTTTTTTTCAGTAATCGTTTTTTCTGGGTAGTGTCCCCCTTAAAATGCGCCGCAACGGGGAATCCCAACTTATAGTTGATGATTAGTGCGTGACGATACGCAAGGTGGTTCTGAAAATAGCACTTGGCGAGGCTTTAAGTTAGAGGGAGAAATCAGTTAAGGGTAGGGATGTCTTCATAGAGGTAATGATAGCTATGCGGTGATGGTTAAAAGCTATAAAAGGAGGACGCGGGGGGGGGGGTTCGGACGGCCCACTGACCGGTCATGGCGAGGCCCAGCATGGCGCACCAGCGGCTGCGGACTTCCTCGATGGCGCGTGCATCCCTGGACGACGCCTGTGGGGCCAGCAGGGGTGCCAGGCAGGGCAGCACCGCCTGGGACATGAGCCGAAGGGCCTCGAGCCCCTCTTCAAGGCTGCCCTCCTCGAACTGGCTGGCACACTTCTCATTCAGTTCCTGCACAAATGTCACACCGGAGATTTAGAAAATGCCATACCCGGAAAGGCAGCGAAAACACAGTGTATTGCGCGTTGCTCCGCGGCAATGCTGCACGGAGGAACTGGATAGGCATCTTGTGCCTCGACGGCCCGAACATCATCAAACATAGCAACTTTGAAACAAAATCCTGCCAACGCTACACGACGAGAAACTGGGGAAGAGGAGGAGATGAAAGCAGGCAAGGACATCAGAGCACCGAGCTCCAACTGGAAGGATTAGTGGGTAGATGCTAAATTTAGCTGCCTTTGACTCTACTCAATGGTACATGTTCGAACGCATTCGTTCACACTGCGTTCGAGCACACTGCACGCTGTGTTGAGCTGTACCGATGTGACCGGTGGTGCCTGACAAGAACATTGACGGTATGGAATCATTCATCCTGTCTTGTTTGTGCTGCACCTACCAGAAACAGATTACAGATTCCTTGCGTGCAACTCATTTTGATTTGAAAAGACCGAGTGCCATCTCGTTGCAGAGGTGGGTAAGTTCTTTCGTTCAATTTAATTATTATATACTGCCGATCTAAGAGCTTTTCACTATGCGATATTTCAGAATAATTAATGATTTTCGGTGGTCCCATGACATTCGTTATATAGGCTTCCTGGATTGCCCAGGGGGCGCTGTAAAAAGGGCCTTGTTAGGACTTATTTTCAAAAAAGCAAACTTGAGCATCTCAAACTGCCACACATGTAGAAGCGTGCCTGCTCTGGTGTGGAATGCGAGATCCCGAGGAAAATACAAAGAGAGAACAAAAATTGGAATTGAAATTGGACACTAAGGCCATTTCACACGTTCCAAAGAAAAAAGGAAAATGAACACGTCGGAATGCCACATGTTTTGACGTCATCATGCAGAGATAAGAGACAGGTTACAGTCTCCGACCAATTTTTCGGATGCCAGTAATTCAAACTTGTTTGATACTTCAAACCTAATAAAAAAATAATTGTGACCTACTCGAGAGAAGTAGTGCGTATTCAAGACACATGGTTCAAACAGCTTGAGGTCCAAAAGTAAAACTTTTTGGAATTCGTTGCGAGCGATCAGCGGGAAACACCACCGAGAAGCCGCCATTTTAGATTCTAAGTTGGCTGCGCATGGATTGGCTTGGTTTGGCAGCACTACTTGAGAAATGCTAAGTCCTGCCACTAGGTGACGCTATGCAACAACTTTTATTTTCTCTTGCTGTGCATTATTATCATCATTACTGTTACCACTCGCCATTCTTCAGTCGTGGACTTGCCCCTCTCATCTCGTCTCGGTGAATTGTGTTTTCGGACCATGCTGGCTTCGACCGCCGCTAAGTGTCTCTAAGAAGCGCAGAAAGTACTCGACCATAACGCTGCAAAAGAAGGCAGCGATTCTCAAGCTAAGAAAATGTGGCCAAATGCAAGCGGAAGCGTAACCTGAAGCAAGGCACTATTGACAGCTTTTTTAAGCCCGCTTAGACATAATAAAGGCAAGTTTTTTAATCTGCTGATTTTTCGGACTGACGGAAAAACACCTTTAGACGTCCAAAATCGGCTAGATTCAACTATACAGTCGCCGACCGATTTTTGAGACTTCGCAAGGACTGAAAAAACGTCCAAATACTTTTTATTTGGACGTTTTTTCAGTCCTTGCGAAGTCTCAAAAATCGGTCGGCGACTGTATAGTTGAATCTAGCCGATTTTGGACGTCTAAAGGTGTTTTTCCGTTCTTCAGCACTATAGAAAGATAGAAGCTCAGCAAAGGTGCCATAAGTAGTGCGAGCCCCAGTTAGGTGAGCTTATACTACCCAAAATGAGGGTGCCACAGTTTGTTCAAAGCTTCAGTGCAGCAGGTGTATCGAGATTTGACAGTAACACATTCTGTGTTAAAAGATTGCTGGTATAGAAGAAACATGGGCAAATAGTGCTTTTATGCACTTTTCAAGGGGACACTCAAAGGGAAAGTATTTCAAATTTTTGGCATGTATGACGGGGCACAGCTCACAATTTTCTATGAAAAGGTAGAACTGTCCTTCAGCCTTCAAGGATTGCTACTACCGTAATATCCCGAGATGTAGCCCACCGAAACGTGAGAGCAAATTGGGTGAAAATGAGAAGTGGGTTCATATGCAATGAAGAAAAATTAAAAAAAAAAAAAAAACTTTTTCGTATTTTGTGACCTGCCAAACTTGTTCTCACAAAGAAGGGCAATGGAGCGTTCTTAGTAGGCAATGTTTTTGATGCACGAGAAGTTGGCTAATGGCACTTGGCAGTTTGCCAAGATGAGCATAATCAGAAAATGGCGGCGCCCAGGACCGCAACAGCTGCATCTTAAGCAGGCATGAGCGTAAAGTCGGCAGTATCCTTGAGACTGCTATTTTCAATACAGGACGACATTACACTCCTGGGGGAGGTGCTCATCATTAACAATTTGGAAGGCTCAGCAAGGTGGATAACAATCGCCGGCACCTTGCATCTTGCGACATGCGAATGTTTCTCGGCGAAGGCGAAAGACACGAGACCTTTCTTGCCAAGGCGACACTGGCGGACACGAGCGGTCGACAGCTTGCGTCACTCTAATATTTAAAAAAATCTAAAATGTTACTCTGAACCAAAAACTTGTTTTTTTCTCAAGTTACAGCCTTTCATGTGAAAAAGAAATTTCTACTGTATCTTGGTGGTGTTGCAGGCGCCAGATGCTTGGGTTTTTACGTCGCAGCGGAGAGACGCTATTCTAAAACTCTCTTGCGCTTAAATTGCATATGGTGTTTAAAAGGTTCCTACCGTTTCACACGTCCAAGATGAGACTGCAGTAGTTCATTAGCTCGACTATTTCGGGCCCTGACCAGCTCTTCCACTCCTACGCTAAGCTGGGCAATTCATGACTAAGCTGCACACCATAAAAATAATGAAAGCACCACGAAGAAAAAAACACTGCAAGATCAGGCTGCCACAATCCTCAGGGTTCATGAAACACCTTAACAATCTCACAAGAATGCCATACGCACATTTAAAGCTGCGAGTAGTTCCTTAAAATGATTCAAACACTGTTCCATTACCCATAACCACAAGTGATCTTTCTCTCACAACAAAATAAATACTTTGCTCTTGGATAAATGCGCTCACATAAAAGTTGGAGATACAGTCGCCGACCGATTTTTTTACTTTACAGGGACCAAAAAAACAACCGAAAAAAAGAGCAGTCAGAAAAATCAGCAGATTAAACAACTTGGCTTTATTATGTCTAAGCGGACTAGCCGTAAATAGTACCTTGCTTCACGCTACGCCTGCGTGCTTTGTTCCAGGTTACGCCTCCGTTTGGGTGCAACAACTTTCTGTTAGCTTGAGAATCACTGCCTTCTTTTCTAGCGCTATTTTTCGAGTACTTTCGGTGCTTCTTAGCAACACATCGCGGCGGCGGAAGAACGGATGGGGCAATGACGTCCTAGCCAGCACAGTCCGAAAACACAATTCACCGAGACGAGATCGAGATGAGATGAGCAAGTCTACGACTGCAATGGTGAATCAAAAAAGCAAAATGGTAACAATGATGATGATAATGACATGCAGATAGAGAAAAAAAGGCCGTACAGCATCACCTAGCAGTACGACTTAGCAGCACTCAAGTAACGCTGCCAAACCAAGCCAATCCGTGCGCAGCCAACATAGAATCCAAAATGGCCGCTTCTCGGTGGTGTTTCCCACTGATCGCTCGCGACGATTTTGTTTGAAAATTCAAACTTTCGGAAAATTCAAACTGTCTGAAACATGGGTCGTAAATGTGCACTATTTCAATAGGGTAGGTCACGGTGTTCTCCCCTTAGGTCCGAGATACTGAACAAGTCTGAATTATCGGCGTCTAAAAAATCGGTCGGCGACTGAGGTCTCGAAAGCTGGGGGAGGGGCACTTGTTAGGTCCGAGAGCAGAAATATGCACGGGGCATGAGGTAAGGTGGATTCTACCACTCAGAACCAGAGTATGCACGTCCAGTTTTATTGCTTCCAGCCCGCACGCGTAGGGAAGTGGCCGACACGTAGGAGCGTTTCGGTCAGCCCGGTATGCTCAGAAGTCTGGGTTCGGCTCTCGATGAGTACTTTGCCAATTTTTTAAACGTTTCGTCTCTTACTGCGAGGCAGAAAAACTTTAAATTGGCACTTCTCTGCCTCTCAGTAAGAAGCGCAACAAAAACCCCAAAACCCATTCGGTTAGAGCGCGGGTCACACTTCACCCGTTCAGAGGGCCACGCCCATTCGACCGAGTTCCGCCCCGTCACTCGCCGGGCAAGACTTGCACCCACCAGCAACGCCAGCCTGCGGCAGTGGTCCAGCAGCCTGGGGTTGAGGCCCAGGTGGCGGGCCTTGGGCCCCGCCGGGGGCGGCCCCCCCTGCAGGGCCTCGTTGAGGGCGCAGGCTCCCGCAAGCAGCGACAGGGCCTCGGGCAGGCGCCCCGCCCACAGCCGGTCCAGCCCTACGGCAAGGGCGGTGGCCAGCTGCCGAAAGCGCGCGTACAGGGCGTGCCAGCCCCGGTACGCTGCCTCCTCCGCCGCCTCCTCGGACTCGGAGCCACCCCTGAGCTGTGCCAGGCACTGCAGGGCCTCCTGACAAAGTTCAAGAAGGGAAAAGAGAAGTGGGCTTCAGGCAACGGGATGGAGTGCGGACACGACGAGACAAAGTACTTGACCGACACCACCTAAAATAATCATCGCCTGCGAACCGCTTCTCTACTTTCACGCAACATCGTCGCGCTCGGACGGTGTCATGACTGGGCCATCGGGTCTGAGCTTCGTGCCGAGCGTCCTTCGACGCATTAACTGGACACAAGGTCCAGCCAGACACCGATGTGGCGCTCGTGAGCAATGCAGATCTATGCTTGATCTCGCTGCGACGACTTCCAAATGGTAGTGCGTGGGCTTCGGATGTTCCGGGTGGTGTTGCCCCGACACTTAAAAAAATCATTTATTTTTCTGCACAAAAAGCTACAACGTGGTTTTAAAACATCGGCCAATTAATTTTCACCGCAAAGTTGCATATTTGCCAAGGTAAGCAAACAGATTTAAATGTAGACCGGAGGGCAAAAGAGGGAGAATAAAAACTCCAAGACTCCAGAAATTTCTCTGGTTGTTTCAGTCCCCGCGACTGTGCAAATATACAGTAAAACCTCGTTATAACAAAGTTGAAGGAGCAGTCGTAATTATTTCGTTGTAACCATTAGTTTGTTATAGCCAATGTACATTTCTTCCCACTATTAGTAAGAAAGGGGAATTATGATTGCTTTGTTATATCCATTAGTTTGTTATATCCCATTTTGTTATAACGAGGTTATGCTGTATGTAGACAAAGTGTTTATTGATGTGTCCTCAGCGTGTCGGTGGTCATAAAAGTAGTGTTTTGTGAATTTTATCATTTCTATGAACAAATATGTACCTCAAATGCCTTATTACTGAAAAAAAGAAAAAATTAAACCTGGCTCAATTGTTTTGATGAACCCAGAGAACACGGAATGTGTCGTGCGTGTATCATCCATGCGTTATGATTTGTTATGCTTGATAGCGGGGAGCTTTCAGTGATTTCGCATGCGCTGCACAGACAACACACTCCAGCGATCTCCATGTCCATCGGAATAATTGAGACAAGTTTAAAAGTTCTTCGGGAGTGGAGTGTGTAACGAGCATGCTTTAATGAGGTTTCCCATGGCTTCTGCTCCTTGGTGGGTGCGTGTGGGGCCTTGAATTTTCAGTACTATTGGACTTTTAGGAGCCCCTCGTGACAATAAATTAATCGTGAGGAAAGGAGGTTTCTTGCACCTTTTATGTACTCTATTGATTCTTTATCCCTAGGTAATTTATGATACACCCCATAATGTTGCGAGTTCCGGTGGGGAGCTAAGGCTCGTCAGGAACCAGCTGCGCACGCCGACGGTCGCATGCGGATTAAGTATGATGGACAAAATATGAATCGACACTAACAATCGTCTGCGGATTATGTACAGTAGAACCTCGTTGATACGTTTTTCAGGGACTGTGGAAAAAACACGGATCACCCGGGAAAATGTAACAACCAATAACACTGTTGGTGGGGCTACAGATGTGATGGGAAGCAACTCTCACACTGGGAGTTACTCCAGAATGACATTTGGGGGTTCGGAGAACTATTGTGTTAGTTACCATATAGATGGGCATTCTTTTTCAGCACAATTGTTTAGAACTAGCAGTCAATGTATACCGTACCGTATCTACACGATTAAGGGGGGACACTGGCTAGAGGTCAAACTTGTGAACTACTCAAGTGATCGGAATGAAATTTGCACGGGAGATTTAGCTTCAGATGTAGGTGTACTGTGCAAACTTTTAGCTCTTTAGGACAAATTTACATACCTGCATAAGATGATGTGTCACTTTTCATTAAGAAATCTATGATATGCAAATCAAGCTATTAAGTACCATTTTGACTGCTTGAACATAAAGTGGAAGATATGGGACGTCGGGCTATCTAGTTTTAATAACTTAAATGTAAATATTTCAGGAAGAGTTATTACCTTAAACTATGAGACGCATATCTGTCATCTGTCAATTTTTGAAAACTTAGTTTTTTCTCACTGAGGACTTCAACTTAAAACAAAATAAAGTAGATAGCCCGATTCCTGAGTAAATTTCAGTTCCGAAACATCTTGATTGTGGTAACAAAATACTTTCACCTTCGAACAAAAGATTCCTTCGTATAAAATTTGCAGCGAAAAGTGGAACTGAGAAAAATGCATTCAAACATTGAACTCCTTTACTTTGTTACTGCCTCACAATGTGTTGAAAATATTTTATATTAACATAACATTTGGCATATTGTAATCAAATTTGGTGTAAGGGTGTATAATTAGTTTCTAAAACTGAAAACCTCAAAATTAAAAAATGAATTTTTTCAAGAAAATAAAAAATTTAGGCCCATGTCCCCCCTTAAAGCGCGACCACAATTGCTACCTCAAGGGGCAACTTTTCATATTGCTCACTGGGGAAAATAGAACCAGGAATGTCGCGCGAGGCTAATAGAGAAATAAAACGGTACCTTTATTTTGCTAAAAATCATTTCCAACACGATTTCTGACAACTGCACTCATACACGTCGAGCAGCGACCAAGTTTTTCTCAGCTCTTGCTCCACTCCCGAAGTCGGAACGGGCATCACACTGAGCCCGCTGTGTTGCCATCAGTTCCATCAGAACGTCCGACAGGAACAAAATTCTTTAAGATCCAAGAACTAAAACACACGCTAAAGACTAGCGCGTTAAAACTTTGAAATCTTTGAGCTGGTTAAGCTATCCTAAACGGACTCCGATCGTGACATCACTTGCTCACCAGCCACTATGGATTCTAATGGATTTGGATTTGGATTCAAATACATAACTTGAAGAATCAAGCAGAGAGGTCGAGAGGCATACGTTGCCAACAGAAGACCGAAAATCTGCCGCGCGCTGCCCAGGAGCGCGGGTTTGGGAGGGCCGAGGGGCAGATTTTGGACGTAACAACCGGGAAGTCAAACGCAGCAGACGGGAAACTAGTGCATGTATCTTCATAGGAGTTAAACAGGACCGGCGCTCGTGTACGTAACAGCCCAGAAAATGTGTCAACCGGGAATGTATCAACGAAGTTACTGTATGCTGAACTAAGTACAACCCACCATCAAAGGTCGCCTGCAAATAAGTATGCTTGCCTAAGTAAGACTCGCTGCCAACAGTCTCCTGAGGACTAAGCAGCATGCCAGCGACTGTAGCCTGCAGATTAAGCATGCTGGACTATGTATGACTAAAGGCCTGTTCACACAATGCATTTTTCTCGCGCATCTAGTGTCGCGAATTGTAGTTTTGCGAAATGGTTGCACCATCTGAAAGAATCCTAAAAGGACGCACGCATCTAAAAAAAGTTGCGCGCACACCTCGCTTCTGGAGCGATCTTTTGCTGAAACTTTGCCGAGTCCTGTCAATCACTCTGAGGGTACCACCAATGGCCGCTCAGAAACGCTCTCACGTGGCCTTTGAGGGGGGAGCGAGCTGTTTGAGAAGACCACTTCACTGCCGGTGTTGTAGCGGAGCGAAATCCGAAAAAAAAAACGAAAAAGCGAACGATGGATACTGCCGGCGCTTCTGCAAGAATGTCAAGCACCACTGAAGGAAAAGTGAGTAGCATATCGGAAATAAATCCAGCGATGGACGAAGACAATCAGCGGGAGTTGGCGAGACTAGAATAGTGCTCATAGCGTTGTTGTCGCAACGATACCGCTGGATAAGAGACCGAGTAAACTGAAACCAAGTTTGCTTTGTTTACAAGCGAACGTGAAACCATGTGCGCTCTCTGAAACAGTTGGCACAGTAAACTCGGGGCAGACATGGGCGCTGAGAAGTAACCAGATTGGGCACGTAGCGTTTCTACGAATACTATGCGCATTGATAGGAGCTTTGGCAATGAATTGGCTGCGTATGGGCTCGGCGCCGGCACATGTCCTGCACGTACAGGTTGCCGCCTTAATCGGCTTAGCGCACACGCGAGATCGCTCCAAGTAGTGCAGTATGTGAGAAAAAAAAATTAAAGTGAATTGACTGCATAAAATGTGCAAACCAGGTCCCCAGATAAATAGAGATCGGATTCGGAGCTCACTCAAAATGGTGCATCGGTGTGTGTTGTTGTTGCACGTGAGGCGGGTACGTGTGAACGAGCACATTTCGCGAAACTTGAGTGTCGCAATACTGTTGCGCGCCTAAAAGATGCATCGTGTGAACAGACCGCGTAACTTTTTTGGTGGGGGGGGGGGGGGGGGGGGGGGGGGGGGGGGGGGGGGGGAGGGGAGGGGGGGAGGGGGCAAAATGCATGCATATATATGTTTGCAAGTCTGGCCTCAGGGCGCCACCACTTTGTTCATAGGGGTGCGCCTGAACGTGTCATAATCCGATTACATAGCCTTGCTAAGGCCCACTTCAGACGGGGCAACTTTTCTAGCAATTCTGAGGTTGTTGGCGAATTGTTCCCTAGATCGACATGAACTGCTGAAATCGGGTCCGGCTCGAAACGGACGAGCAACTCGAACAACTTGGAGACGTTTGAAGCAGCAGCAGCCAATCAGGGACGCAATATTTTCATGTGACACCCCTGTGGTGGTGATGATGACAGCTAAAGATTTGGTTCCGGTTAGAAATTGATCGTTTTTGGAAATATGCCTTTTCAGAAAATGAGTAGGTGTTTTCAGCGCCATTCAAAGATATAAAAACATGTTTTTAGCGCTTAGCTGTGCGTCTAAATTGTGCAAAAAAAAAATCAACTTGAAGGATAATGATGGCAAGTCGTAGCAACTCGGTTGCTGCGTGTGAACGCGGCCGGCCCGTGTTGCCGGTTTTGCAACGTCAAGTTGCTGGGTGAAATTGCCCTGTCTGAAGTGGGCCTAAGGCGTCGTAATCAGCTTATGGCTGCGCCCAAGCGCACCCCAACTGAGCAAGATGGCGGCACCCTGAAGCCGGACTTGCAAATGTGTACTGTATTTTCTATGTAAAGGTCACGGTTTTTTTTTCAAACGTTTTTCTTGATGCGTCTTATACAACATTGCGACTTATATGCATTTTTTTTATATTCACAGTGCAACACAATTTTTTTTTATGCATCAAGCGTCATCTCTTGTAGAGCACCGTAACTATGTAGCCATAGGTGGTGTCATCCCTTCCAGGAGGCAGTGCAATTGCCACACGCTTCGACACTTTTCATAACTGACTCGAAAAGCGAGATATTTTACGGTTTCCCCAATCTGGATAGGCTCAATGTGGATAGGCAAGAAGTGAGAATAAAACTTTTAGAGCATGTGATCGACGTTGCCTAATTCAGCCATGGTTTTGTATTCTTTTGCTTTAGTCCAGTAACACTGAAACTTAAATCGGCTCGTATACTGGCACAGCAAAAACGTTTCTTGCGACTTTCTAATTTTACGTTTGATGAGCAGTTTTTATCTGCAATGCTCCAGCCATGTTGCTACATGTAAAAGGAAGGATTACGTCTAGCCAATCTTTTAGCTGTACCCAAAGAAGTGTGTCAAGATTTATCTTTCTGCCTGTGCGTCGATACTCACGTCATCTTCGTGACTTGGCCTAGCTAGGCCTAGTGGTCCAAAGCTTGGTTCGAAAGCGTCTGGCACGTTAAACTTCCGTTTGCTTGGCATGTGTACGTTCGAATAAAGTTGACTACCATCTCCTTTTGTGCATATTACGTCCTTTTGCTGCGAAACACTCGACTGCCCCTGCAAGAGAGTGCCATGCTATGGGCATTTCTTGGGAGTCAAAAACTCCAAGATCCATGTCAAACAGTACGTAATATCTGGCCGATTTTGCGAAACTTTATGAAATCCAGTCCATAAACACATTCTTAGGTTCTCCCTGCGCGTGACCAACATTACTACAGCTACTTGGTTGTCAAACTTGTCCTTGGAACCCAGACCCTTGCATCCAGTGGAACCGAGCCACGGCCAGCTAGATTTGATTACGGCGCCGCCCCTTTGTGGCGAGTTTGTTCCGTTTGTTTGTTGGCTAGTCTGTTTTGAGACAAGGGAGTCAGAAAAAGTTCATTTTGCCAACACAGATGTGCATAGTTTCTGGAGTGGTCTCTGAGGCAAAGACGGTGGCGCTACACTCTCGTTGAGTATGGGTCAAAGCCAGCTCTCGATAGCAGGCTCCTATGGCAGTTTCCCAATTGAGTTGTTCTAGTAACCATGCGCGTGACAGAGGAAAAAAAAAAGTGGGGAAAGCCCTTGGCAGCCAGTTCCCACCCGGCGGTTTTCGTATGAAAGAATTGCCGGATTTCGAGTCGCACAGATCTTTCCTAGATCGTCGAGCCGTCGTGTGTCGCGTTTTTGCAGAAGTTGAAAAGACCCTTTAAGAAATCTGACGTAGCACTCGTGTCCAATAGGTTTCTTTGCTCAATCTCAATGTAATCACATCAAAATTCCAGAGGACAGGCTTCAACAATTTTATAGGTACTTTGTTTCACCGTAACTTGGCAAAGAGCTAACGTCGTGTCCCGTTCAAGCCTATCATGACGTAAGCATGTGATGGCTTTACCACAGCTCACGGAGGTAGGAAGCTTCTAGAGGCGACATCAGGCCACCAGAGGTGAACCCAGAAGTGTTGAAGGAAGCCAGAAGTGTGGAGCTGCTGGCGCCAAGCCAACTCTCTCCATTTCGTCCAATAGCCGGTTTCGGTCATTGTTGGGGGCGTGTCCCTCTACGCTTGTGGCGTCACCTTTGGTGGCCTCCTGTCACCTCCAGAAGCTTCCTACCTCCATTACACAGGTGGAGGGGCGAGAGTAACCCAAGCAGTTGGAGAAGAGGGAAGGAGAAACTCTTCTCTTACTCGGGCCCTCTTTTGCGTGCCCCAAGTGTTGGTTTTTCCCCGTAGAAGATTAGCTCATCGCTCAAAATTTGTACAAAAGCGACAGTAGGCTCGCAATAATTCGAACTCGGATATTTCGTACCTCTGGTTAATTCAAACAAATTTGAAAATTTTGGTTGTCCCTCTATGTTTTTAATGCATTCATAAGCCGCTTAATTAGAATTTCGTTTAAAGGCTGAATCACACGAAAGCGATTTGGTGAGCGACGAGACGAGCGACGGCACAAGAGACAAGAGTCAGCAACGGGCGACGGAGATTTTTCACTGTTGCCTGTCGCGTCATTTGGTTTTTGGATTTCTAGAAAACGTTGCTCGTCGCCCTGGTCGCTTGCTTGTCGCTTTCATGTGGTTTGCTTCGTCGCGCGACTGACAGATCGACAACGACAGCGGGTCACCATCGCTTGTCTCGTCACTTGTCAAACTGCTTATATGCAGTTTATACTTAATTCATACTTTTTGTTTTCACGGCCCCGTAGAGTGTGCTTCTTTCCGAGCACCGGTGCGTTCTAGAGAGGCAAAGCCTGCCGAGATTGCTTTCGTAGGTGTGGCTTCTCCGCAGTACACTAGTGCTTGGTGGGAAGCACACTTGACGGGGCTCAAGCAAGGCACACATGAGCTATGAAAACGGGCACCGCATGGAAATTTCCATAGCAACTTGCGCAAACACTGTGATGCAGTGGCATGAAACAGGTCCACATCACAGCGTCCGCGCATGTTGCTACGAACACTGCCGCCCGGTGCTGTTTTCATCACTTGTGTGTCCACTTAATAGTTCACATTAGACAACATCTTGGCCCGATGAACAAACTTAATATTGTTTTGAGTTGTCATGTGCTGTCTGAACAGTCCATGATAAACAATATTTTTGAGGGATAAAGAAACTTATGTCATACATTTCACAAATGCTTCATGCACAGCATACCTGCTTATGATCGGTTGGCCTATTTAGAGGAAATCATCAAATATCTGTTTTGTAAGTGTAGCATACAAAACAAATATTTGACATACTATAAACAGAAATGATATGGCAAATCATAATTTTATTTCGGATCATATTTAGATAAATTTCCTATAATTCAAACTTACGACCATTCAAACAAAATTCTTGGCTTCCTAAAGCTTGAATGAATGAAAGTCTACTGTAGCGAGACAAAGTACAGTCACACGTCTCCCTCCGAGCGGGACCGTAGCCCTCATTGTCTGCCAAGTTACGACGAAAGAAAGCGCAGGTTGCGTTGTCCCAGAACCCCACACCCCCTTCGGGGTACCCACCTGCCTGAGGAGCCTCCCTGTGGGGTCCCCCTCGAGGTCCGGGTGTGCGAACTGCTCTAGTAGGACCCTGCGCAGGTGTGGCTGCACGGGGATGCCATTGAGGAGTAGGAAGAGCCCCGGGTGGTGCAGCCGGGGCTCCTGGGAGGCCTCCCCGCAGGGGGCGTGCTTGGCCAGCCGCTGCAGGCGCGCCAGCTCCTGGTCCAGGGCCTTGGCCAAGGCTGCGCGAGGGCCCTCCGTTGTCAGGGTGGGCACCAGCTGGGCCAGTCGCACTCCCTGCGCAGAGGGGGGAAGGCAAGGGGCCTTCATCACAACCCGGGCCGTCTCGAGCGCAGCGGTGAGTGTGAGAGAGAAAGAAACATTTGTTTTGTTAAAGGCCTACGTCCCCGTCCGGATGGACTGGAGCGGTCAACAACCACTCAAAGTGCGAGGGGTACGTCAGTGCCCCGAGGTGGAGCCAGCCATTCCTCCCACAAGAGGACGTGGGGGAGGAATGGGGGAAGGGTGGGCTGGTCATGGGACCGGTATAGTGCAAGGGACGGAGGGGCATCCCTCACGTTGGGGCGGGTGGGGCGAGGCGGTAAGGGCCAAGCGACGGTACGAGGCCTGGTAGCGTTATCATCATTATTAGGAGCTGAATTATCAGCACCTAATACTACAACGAGGAAATGTTAACCTCAGGGACGACATCCAGGAAAACCTCAAGGACAACGTCTAGGACGACCTCAAGGACATTTATAGGATGACCTCGAGGACAACGTCTAGGATGACCTCCAGGATTACTTCTAGGATGACCACGATGACTACCTCTCGGACGACCTCAGGGACGACGTCTAGAACGACCTCAAGGACGACGTTTAAAACAACCTGAAGGACGACTTCAAGAAAAATCTCGAGGACGACGCCTAGAGGACGATTTCTAGGACGATGCAAAGAGAAATTCAGCTTTTCCATTCTGGTGAAAACCAGAGTAGAAAGGCTGGAAAGGTTGCCGCCATCTATAAGTGATGGCAGCAACCAGACAACCGGCAAGCCGGCGCCGTCGCTCATAGATGGCGGAAGCTGTCCAGAATTTTGTGTCGACATTTGTTTGCCTGCAGACACGATCCTGGGGAAACAAGCCCTTAACAGCTCCGCTGTAAAACAAATATTTACGAGGCTTTGATAGTGTCTGAATAACAGTCAAACGTCAAAATCAACCCCAAATTTGCGCGCTCGCAATTCCTGACACCTTTGGCCGACGGCCGCCATCTTGGTCTTATTTTGAAGGTGAATTCTTTCTCTTTTATTTGACGGGTCCCATGATGGCATCAGCAGTATGGTTACGGCGTGGTCGGCATTCTTCTATGTTCCAATTGCAACAATGCGATCGGACAGAGCGCGCACTCGAGGAGTGTAAAAGAGGGCGCAACTTCTATTGGCTGGGACGCAATTTCTCTGTTCGCGGAGTGTTCTCCTCCACTTTGTTCCTCTTGCTGTTGCCGCTCACGTCGTCTGCTCTCGGCAGTGGTCTGCTTACTCGTGTTTTCGCTTTTCCAGCTCCGCTTCATTTTTCGCCATCTTTACAATCGTTTTCTGAACTTTCTTTGAATAGTTCGCCCGTCTGTTTCGTGGTTGCACACGATGCGAGGTTCAAAGTACAGGACTGTGCGTGCATTTGGCACACGGAAGCGGCCCATGAAGCTACTATGGATGGCGAAGCTGGACGTTTCTGCGCAACGTGCCGTCAATGGTGATTGTGCCAATGCTTCCCAGTGATGGATTTCCTGTACCAACGGCTGTCGCCGAGGAAGAATGCATTGCCCCGCTCACGTATGGAGTAACAAGCACGTCGACCGCTGTGGTTCCTCCCGAGATCACGGGTCCCAGCGCTCATCCTCCGCCTGCCACCTTGTTGAAACTTGTCGTCCAGCACCCATATGGCGCTTGAGGAGATCAAAGCAGAATCTAGGCATTGCGATACTGCTCAAGCTGAACTTGGAGCTATGCCAGCAACCCAGAGGATATTTGAAGCCATGCTGCCCGATCCCACACCTGCCTCTGCTACAAGCGAAGGTGCGAAGTTCTGCATGGTTCAGATTGACATTCTGAGCAAACTGCTCTGCTACGGGTCCCTATCATTTCGTCGAAACTCGTTTCGTGGAATTTCGTTTCCTAGACAACTTTTCAGGGACACACATTTCATTGACAGAATCGTACCATCGACACTCGTCCCGTGAATTGCATCTGTAGGGACGTCCCATCTCACCTGTATCACTGGGATGCACGTTAACCCACCCCCCCACCTGCGTTCACGCCGCTTTGTGGCGACTCATTACAAGAATGTTAACCCACCTGACTGACCTGTACACACCGCTTTGCTGCAACAGTCTCATACAGCTTATTAAAGAAAAAAAATCTATCTGAGCTGTCAATGAAATGATTTGATGATGAAACATCGCGTGTCAATGAAACAATCTGACGATGAAACATTGTTCGATGAACTGATTGCCATTGCTCTGCTGCAAAGTGTGCAATCATTGCTCGGGAACTGGACTGACTGTCCAGCAAGCTGCCAAAAAAAGATGCCCTACGTCTGTGCAAAGCCAGCAAACGACATCAAGAGAAGTTTGATGGGTGGAACAAGAAAAAAGTGTGCAAGAACGCTTCAGACTACTCTGCAGGGTTGTTCTAAAGCCGAAAATTTGTGTGCAGCTTTTAGGAGGTGTTTTCTCAAAATGGATTTTTTCACTGTCGTGGCTGCTCATCCCAGTGATATCGCGGGAACTGCTCAATGGATTTTCGTGCTGTCATTTTTATTCTCTTCTTATATAACTTTCTGAAAGCATAACAGAGCCCCCTTTTTTTTTTATAGAAAACTGTGTTATAAACTTAAATTAAAGAAAATTAAATTTGATAAATGTAAGTTTCACCGACTACATAAAATTCGAAGTTGTGGTAAAATTTTTTAACAAAGAAATTTAAAAAAAAAGGGCTCTGTTATGCCCTGGCGAATCTATCCAGGGGTCACCATAACAAAGTTTTTACTGCTACTACTACCTTTTTCAAATTATCCAGGCCTAGGATAAGGAACAGATATGGACAATTTTGATATTTGCAACTTAAGAAATAATATTCACAGCTCTATAAAATTTTGCACTAACTCTTATGTCTGTGTTATATATAAACACACCCTGTAAATTTCGTTCAGATATCTCTAGAAATAAGGAAGTTCTAGTTCCATTCTCCACATCCTCTCTTAAACTGCTTAGGAGCAGCTGTGGACATACTAGGAATATTTTGATGCGAAAGCATGAACTATCCTATGTGAGTGGGGCCGGCGGCATCTGTACTAGTCACAAAAAAACGCGAAAGAAATGCCTATTCTCCCATTGGCTGAGCGAAAGAGCTCCTGGATAGCCATTGGTGGCCGCTTTACGAGAGCACGCGCTCGGCAGCCGCTCTCGTGGCAGGCATTGCCGGTGGGGAGGGGCTGCAGCTGCTTCACGAGAGCGCGAGCTCGGTAGCCGGTCGCAACCTCGGCAGTAGTGAAACGTGGCTGGCCACGCCCGTACACCACGAACAAACTAAGGCAGTGGATTCATGTTTTTGCATTCACAACTCATAAAGTGCTTAGGTGTCCTCGGAATTTTTATTTAAACAAAAACTGAGGCACCTAGGCAAAAATTGCTTTCTGCTCTTTTTTGTCAACATCTACGAATTCTTCTATCACATTTAAAGCCAAGTTGCATAACTTTTTGATTTAACCGTCTACTTCTCGTGGACAAGCCTGTCGCAATCAACCAATGACTTCTGTTGTAGCACTACCGCAATTCAAATGTTTCTCTTACTCCAGCGACACAAACATAATATGCGTTTAAACATAACATATTTGTCATTCAGAAGCTAAAGTATCACATTACATTCGTTGGGCAGGTCGCCCCCCGTACGCATGTAATTGAAGTATGTACATAACAGATGTGTGCCACATTGCTTCGCTGGTTACAAGTTGAGACACGGACGTGAAAGTGCGTAGGATTTGCTCGAAGATGCTGTCGCAATCTAAAATGTGCAAGGGGTGTACCTGGAAGGAGCCCTGTGCCAGCCTCGCATGCTCCAGCTGCACTTCTGGCCAAGGCACGGCGGTCCCCGAAACGCTCCACTCCGCGGCGCTGCAGACCCGCTCAGCCGCTGGAGATTCCTGCACCCGAGGACAGCACAGACATTGTGTGAAACTAAGAACATTTATTTCAGACACAACAATTTAGTGTGTTGACCTAGTAGGTACTGGATGTATAAGAGGATGACAGGCAAAAGAAAAGGGAGGGGGGGCCTTCTAAAGCCAGAACTTGACCAAAAAGCAACTATGCACAGATGCAGAGACAACCCAAATTACGAGCCACAACCATTTTTTTCCCTCAGTTATTTAAGTTTGAGATTTTGACCGAGAGGCTTCACTGGCAACACTGAAAATGTGACTTCAGATGTAATATGGAAGCAGTATAGCTTGTTCCCATCCGCTTACAAGAGCTTTGATGATGTGAAATGAATGCTTCATGCCAGCAAAACAGAAAGGATATGTGCAAAATACTGTTTTTTAGGATGCCTGCTTGACTTATAAGTTATACGACATGTCACAAAACCTCACTGGAGAACGTGGAAAAATTGTGATGCCGGTTTTGGGCATCACATTTAGTGAAACCTAGGGTATACCGAAAAAGCGTTAAGTCTGGGGAGCTGAAACTGCCAATAGTATATCCCTTTAAATGAATTAACCTGTCAAGCTTTCGCACAATTGGAGTAGCCAATTCTGCTAAAAAATTGCTAAAATTCTTGCGTTTGAAATAAATGTGAGCTCTAAGCAAAGGAGCGTGGTTGTTTGTCTTTGGTGTTTCTTATCTTCTAAAATTAGGGTACCGTAATATCCCGAGTCATCGCCCATCCCCGAGCCATCGCCCACCCCGTTTTTTGGGCCAATATCGATTTCCGAAAAAACACCGAGTCATCGCCCACCCCTTCAAATACCCCAGCGCGGACTCTGCGATCCGCGAAAACTCATCCTACCCGAATGACGCGGCAGCGGACCTTACAGTTGGAGGACCTCCGTGACAAAGTAAAACGAAGGAGGGAAAGACACTTCTTTTTGTTTACGCATTTCCTTCGTGAGCGACCCCAAAGTGGTCGTGTATCCGTGCGAAAAGAAGACGATGGAGATAACAAAATAAGAGTTTGTTAATGTAACCGCGGAGTGTTAGGTCAAAGTCTGTCTCCGCCGAAGCAAGGTCACCGCGAACCCGCTCCTTCTTCCCGGCCGTCGTGACCGCGGTTGTGCAATATTTTAGGCAAAGCCAACGCGTAAATAAAGCTTTGCTGGAACGCCCTACAAAGACGTTTGCAGAGCGTCCCAACCGTGCATTGATAGCCCGCCGTGCACGGACGCACGTATCTACGCACCAAACAAGAAAGTTGCGCAAGAGCTTGCAATTGACAAGGCGGCCCGACTTGGCCCGACGCCAAAGTATTTGCCAACGCGACCACCGGCTTTCCCGCTTTCCCAGCATTGCTCTTGGTCGCTTCTTTGGTCCGCTCGCTCGCTCGCTCGCTCGTTGCGCCTGGTCGGTTTTTCTATTTTCTTGTAGATTTTTCTTTCTTTTTGATTACTAACTAGGAGAACATAGTGGTGACATTCTTTCACTGAACAGACGTTCGCACTATATGCAGATCGGCGGTGTTTCTAGCGCGTATGCAAGCAACGGACTTCGCTATAGTAAAATATTCTTTCGTGAGCATTTTTTTCTATAAAACAATGAAACTAAATCGAGTTTTGAGTTTGATGTATCTCTTGTGCATCAGCGCTAGATACGCAAAGAAAAATAGGCGGTTTTTTCCGCTTTTTTTCAAGTGTTTGTGCTCACCCACCGAGACATGGCCCACCCCACTTTTTTAATGAATTTCAGGCGGTAGGGGGGTGGACGATGACTCGGGATATAACGGTAATCATATTTACAACATACTCTCAGACAATTCAGTAGACCAAACACTTTGAGGAGCCAGAACGTCCAGACTGTTTGATAGGAGCAATTTGCAACTGCAAAAGGGCAGACTTAAACACAATTTTCACTTAGTCCTTCTGGCTCAATCAATCACAAGAGAAAAATAATTAAAAAATCAATATCAGCAAACTGGTTTCAAATATCAGGTGAGATTTAATGATTTTAGATAGAGTTAACCAACGTCACAAGGCACTGCTCGATCCTTCGAAACTTTGCTAACCAATCAAGATTTTTTAGTTCTTAATCCACACTTGTAACTCTGCTGTTATAAAAGGAGGCCAGTATTTTCGAAGCAATGGCCTAATCAAACTGTAATAGAGGAATTTCGACGCTTGACCGCTAACCCTCAGATGATGCAATGTATGCTGAGAACCAAAAACTGTCAGTCTTTTGGGGATATTCAAAAGGCACTCTAGATGCATGATTTTAGAGATCCTCCGTGACCATCAGGAAAGCAGATGGTCACGTTATCTTGTGTCCCGTGACCACATGGCACGACGTTAGTGTCGCACGACTCACGGTGTCGTGTGACATCAATCGATCAATCAATGGTTTTCATTCGAGTAAATGCACATTACAAGTTACTGAAAGACTATCTGGGTTCATAGTTAAACTGTCTAATTTGGGCCCATTTTAATAAAATATTACGATGACAGACACTGATATTGAAAACACAGAAAATACAAAAAGATTAGAAGAATGTTAGGTTAAAAGCAAATAGGTAGACAACGTAAAAATTGTAGAGCTTTTCCACTTCACATAAGGTGGAGGACCAGCAAAGCTGTTATCTTTTTGACGTCTAGGACGATGCCTAGAGGACGACGTCTAGGACGACCTCAAGGACGACCTCGAGGATGACTTCTAGGACGTCTAGGAAGACCTCAAGGATGACTTCTAGGACGACCCCTTGGATGACCTCGAGGACGACCTCAAGGATGACCTTGAGGATGACACCTAGGACGACCTTTCGGACGATCTTAAGGTCGACTTCTAGGACGACCTCGAGGACGATGCCTAGAGGTGATAACAAAGGATAAAGACCTCACTATCTAATAATGCCAAAGAAGCCTGACTCATGCTGGTTGCACCCTCTTTTTGTTTTTATTTATTTTTACTTGCCACAACCAATGGGGAGTTTTTTGTCAACATGAAAAGGACACATTTTTCCCTGGCCCCTAACATATCACAGTTTCACTGTAAAAAGCAGCACACCTGAAATACACTAACACAATCATATTATAACAGTGACAAAAAAAGAATTATGCGATAAGCAAGTGAGCATCAAAATGATGGGAGGCATTGTCCCATTCAGAAAAATATAGTGCTTTAAGAATTTGTGGCTCAGAAGGGTAAAGCATTCCTGATTTTAGCACCGCAGAATCTCAAAAGTTGTTGACCACGGGCATCACGAGTTTGGGGAATGTTAAAGTGTCCAGATGCGTTAGCCCTTGTTGGCCGACTTCGTGATTCAGGTGATACGAAATCGTGGTTTTCACACAATGACCGTCAAGCAATGACATTGCATGAAGAGCGTGTCATTGCCATCGAGGCCACGGGCTGCGGACGCGAGAGCGCCAGCAGCTGGCCCCCTCGCTGCTATGTATCTGAAAGGGAGAAGTCCTCATCCAGACCTTCTGCTGCTGGAGTGGCGTGACAACGATGTCGCTGCTGGCCCCATCCGGGCAGTCTTTGTGGGACCGATCCCACTGCTCCAGCTCTCTCCGGAACGCCTCGTTGTCCTCCTCCACAAACTGCGCCAGGTCGGAGGGCAGCTCCAGCTCCGAGTCCTTCACCTCTGCACGAGCACAGCAGCGACGCACCCCGGACACGGTGAGCTCAAAGATATGCAAGTTCTCGGCTGCTGTGCCAAGCGGAGACCCCGTAGCTTGTCTTTATGTATGAGAGGCGGCCAGACTCCGGCTCACGAGTCTTACATGACTCTTCGCGGGTCCAAGTGCGGCTTGCAGCTCCCCGGTAAGGTACCCTTCCCCCCCTTAATTGGAAACAATCTATAATAAGAAATAGCTCGCATGATGGCAGTCTTGTGCTACTATGCATTTGCCGAACCAATTAGATAAAGGACACCTGGATCGGCAATATAATGAGAAATCGCTATATGGGCGGAATCCATTGTGGTCACCGAATCAGATAAAGGAAATGAAATAATTGTAGAGCCCTTCCACTTCATGTGAAGATTGAGGACCAGCGAAGCTGCTATCTTTACATTGTTTAGGATGATGCCTAGAGCACGACGTCTAGGACGACCTCTGGGACGACCAAGAGGACTGTCCGCAAGGTCGTCTTAGAAGCTGCCCATGAGGTCGTCCTAGTCGTTGTCCTCTAGGACAACCTCGAGGACGCCGCCTAGAGTACGACGTCTAGGATAACCCCAAGGGCGACTGCTAGAGCGACTTCAAGGTCTGCTTCTAGGATGACCTCAAGGACGACATCTAGGACGACCTCAAGGACTTCGAGGACAATGCTTAGGATGACCTCTCGAACGACCTTAAGGACGACCTCGAGGATGACTTCTAGTATGACCTCGGAGACGATGTCTAGGATGACCTCAAGAACGACTTCCAGGACGACCTTGAGGACGACGCCTAAAGGACGCTGCCTAGGAAGACCTCTTGGACGACTTCTAGAACAACCTCAAAGACGATGCCTTGAGGTGATAACAAGGTATCAGGACCTCACTATGTAATAAGGCCAAGGAAGGCTGACTCACGCTGGTTTTTGTGTATTTATTCATACCTGACCCCTCTTCTTGTTTTTATTTATTCATACTTGCCACAACCAATGGGGAATTTTCTGTGAACACATGAGGACATATTTTTTCCCAGACCCTAGCGTACAACAGCTTCGCTGTTAAAACGGCTGCACCCTTTGTTCGTTGCAGCTTTTTGGATGAATTGGCTTTTTTATGGCTTTTTACATGAGTCATCTGGCTACCCCCTTATACAAACTAGAGGCTCATTGACATGTTGCCAGTTGATAAGATTTCTCAAGAGCGGAATTGAGAGAAAAAGAAGCATCAAGGAGGGAGCATATGAGAGCAGACAAGAGTCCACAATAAAGGCACGCAATAAAAAAGTAGGCTACTAGAGTTCTCGACCTTTATGGTACATTGTAATGCCACTGCTCTTGCAATCCCGTCTGGTACACTCAACACTATCGTCATCCGCTCTCACGTCGTCGCTCGCAACCGAATCTGTGATGTCCAGACCGTTTACCATATTTAGTCGCGTAATGAACACACTTTTTAGAGTGCAGCTCTTAGGCGCCCATTCCCAGCTTGAGCGGCGTCGCCGTCAGCATAACCAAGCGGTGCATTATGGGTAAATTTCCCCGCTAAATCTAGCGGAAAAATTTTCCCTCTAAATCTAGCCGAAACGTTTCCCTGCTAAATCTAGCGGAAAAATTTCCCCGCTGAATCTAGCGGAAAAATTTCCCCGCTGAATCTAGCGGAAAAAATTTCCCCACTAAATCTAGCGGAAAAAATTCCCTGCTAAATCTAGCAGAAAAATATCTCTGGGGGGTCACGTGCCCCCACAGACACGTGACACCCCCCTCACGTCACCCCCACATGACCTTGGGGAGGGGGTCATGTACCCCACCAAGGTCACGTGGCTGCCCCCTCCCCCCCCCCCCAAAACCACGTGACCCCCCCCCCCCCCCCCCCCCCCGAGAACGCGTGAACCCCAGTACCCTTCCCTCCTCCTCCCCAAGAGCTGCGCTCTAATTCAGCGTTACAGGGAGTTTTAAACAGCTTTCATTTTTTCTCTCGAAAAATTGACACATATTTTAGGGGTGCGTTCATTGTGCGGGGTCAAAATTTTGCATTTACAAACTTTGCGCAAATGTCATTTTAGCTGCCAATATGACACGGCAGCCTACAGTGGCACGTCTCCCCTGACGGAGGCACACCCACAACTGATTGTGAGCGCGCCACAGTAACCATGCTCTCTAAATTGCGAACCCTTTTTAGGGAACTTTCGGTGTGCCTTTTTCTGAAGGAAAAGCACCCTATGAAGCTCACTCAGCACAAAGAGCGACGCAACCGTTCTTAAGCCTAATCACTTTCACGATTTCACTGTCCGAAAGCGAACCACAGACGACGGCGTGTTTGTTGACATCAATGCATCCGATGGGCAAAGCATGTCTGGGGCTGGGCAATTCCCTGACCCCAGCTTTGTTAGGCGTGCATGCCGCTTGGTTTCACGGTTGATTGCTTTCGCAACTACGCACTTGCAGCTAGATTACGAAAGTGGTTTGGCTTGGCTTGACTCGGCCTGGCCGCTTGGCGGCATAGGAAAACTGGCTCGGTGGCTAGCTGCTTTGGATGCAGTTCAAGACTCGTGGAGCTAAAAATTAGGAATGCGTTCATTACTCGAGGAGAAAAAAAAAAGTCAAAATATTGATGCCTGTTGTGGGGGGTGCGTTCACTATGCGAGTAAATACGGTAAGTAACGAACGACCGCATGAGGCTCACCATCGAAGAGGTCCCTATTGTTGCGGTCCACGTAGAGCAGGCAGTAGGCCGAGGTGCAGTGGTGGCCGCCCACCGAGTCCCGCACCAGCTCTGCCCAGGACACCTCCGTCACCGTGACGTCGTTAAACTTGAGCCAGACGGACCTCCGGGGGCAGTACACGAAGGCCCAGTAGTGGCCCGAGGCGGCCTGGCCCTCGTGCACCAGCACCGCATGCAGTCGGTACGGCACCTGGAACCCCGGGGCAAGCAGGGGAGGCGACACCGGTTGAGAACGAAGCGTGTGGCGCTATCGGAATAATTGCCCCCAAAAAGCAGGACAGAAGGTTCAAAGTGAAATTTCAAAATGATAAGCTCTCAGGTCGCAAAGATACAGACGGCGAATAGATAGTTTTATAAAATCTGTAATGCCCTTAAAGGGGTACGGAAACAAAATTTTAAGGTTCATTTTATTGCTTAGGTATCTACCATGTCGCATGAGCACATGAGAAACATCAGTGTTTTTGTTTGAAAATGCGAGAAAAGTAATTTTAAAACAAATTAAACGATTTCCCGCTTGCACCTGGTAATTCGGGGGCCAAAGCTTTGCTGGGGGATTGCGATGTGTTGCTCCTCCCGCAGTAGCTGGCACCAGCTTCAGAAGTACACCATACTTGTAGAGATACCCTAGCCGTGAACGCAATGACGTAATCTTGCTGTTTCACCGATTGTTTTGGTAGTGCCAAGTTGTTTCTGGGTTTATTCGTCACGGTTGCGTGCAGGACGCCGCCTTATCGCGCGGCAGAGGGCTGCGGCAACAGCGCGCTGAACTTTGAGAAGCCAACCCACGGGTTTCCGAACATTGAGAAATTGCCAAGCGTGTATCTGCCTTGCGCGTCCGTTGTGTCTCGGGTGCGGGTGAAAACCGATCGCCTGTACGGTGGCCATTTTCGCGATGAGGACTCTGAAAGGCGACCCCACTGTCCTCAGGAGTCTGGGTCTTCTTACCAGGAGTTGTGCCGACAATTTATTTCTAAGAAAAGAAAAGCAGAAGAGCTTGGCAAACCGCATGAAAAGTGAAGCAAACTGGTCCGTGAGCAGGCTGTTCATAAAACGCCCGATAGCGCATACCTTGAAGCTGGCTAATCATTATTAAATGTAAGGCATTTCTTGGCGACCCCAAACCCCCTCAGATTCTGTCAGGCAGACAGTCGGTCTGTTGGATGGTTCGGACGGCTCTAGCCCAAATGATCTATTCGTCACCATGTGCGAGAGTGACTACTCGTCCTCGCTTACATCTTTTGAGTCCTCCTGATAGTTAAAATTCTCGTCCTCCCGAGTTCATAGATCATGGCAGAATGCACCGCGGACTACGAAGGCTGAAATGAATACATCACGACGGCCACCGTGCACCTGTGCAGCACTCCGTCGTTCTGAAATGCGAGATTGTAACATGCAAAAGCCACCGTGTAGCGGTGCTCATATGGCTGTGCTTAGGAGCCTGACGTCGCGATTGAGACGAAGTTCCCACGACACATCGCACGTCTCGGTGACCGATTTCGAAGCGCTTGCTAGAATCTGACGCTTGAAACGAAAAATACAGCCATCCGCTCAAAATACGAACGTGCGATTGTTATTTACGGATATCACACGTCATATTTCTATTTTGGAGAGGTTTCTGTATATTTAGATTTTTGTGTCTATACCCCTTTGTGTCCTCAACAATAGGGAGCTTTCGTAGATTGGTAGATTGTTCCAGTGAGTCCAATAACGATACCAGATACTCTGCTGGTACCTTTGCGCATGCATCATATAGTTGTCGGGTATTGTTAGAGGAGTTATTAGAACGGTCTACTAAAACTCTCAAATAGACTATTTCGTAAATATACAGCACTCCCCGTCTGCTTAACGTATTATGGCACTGCATTTCTGTCACAATTTGGGTCTGTTTTTAATCCTATGTTCACTGGCTTCGCGGCGTTTCTCTGTCGGAAAATTATCAAGAGACGACCGTACCACTGCTACGCGACTCGAGGCTCTAAACGCAAAAAATCCAAACAGTACACACCTGAAGCAGGGAGGGCTCATTGTAGATGTCCTTAATTGTGGCTTGGATCCGGCTCATGCTATCCTGTAGCTCTGCGGAGTTGGAAAGCAGCAAAGTTACCACATGGAAGAGCAACGCTAACTGAATAGGACATAACAATTGGCCAAAGGGGACTGAGCAGCTAAAGGGAACACACAGGGAAAGGCTCAATGTCAGGCGATGTGTCCCTTGTTATACGTTTGCTTGGAAATGACTAGACTACACCCGAAATGTGCGCTGTTGCGACATGACACCAACGCTAAAATTAAGGTCTTCCATTCACACATGCTCAACTTAAAAAGTCATAAAAGTAAATATGACCTAACGAATAACCTGTTCTTCTGTTCAAATGAACATTTCTGCATAGGTAAAGTGAAAAGTAGGGCAGGGGTTCTCAAACTTTTTGACATTGAGGAACATCTATCTGCCCTAAATAATGGCCGACGAACCTCCGCCTACTCCTACCAACATTGTTATCATACATTTAAACAGTACAGAGGCCTACGACTTTTTTCACAACAGCACAGTTGCGTCTGGCTCGCCCGCAAATCAATGCACTGCACACATGTGCTAAAATACCGCATAAACTGAAAAAACATTTTACGGTCGGGAGAACTTAGGTATTAGAGAAATCCTATCCCCAGCATCAACTTTTTTTGCGTCACATCTTCGAGGCTAAGATAGTTTTTGCAAAGCTCCAACGCCATTGGAGCTAGTTGCCCGAGCACTGGGGTTGGTTTGGCATCTCCTTCGCATGAGCGCGCCTGGAAACGGGATGCAAGACAAATAAATGTGCTCTCGCAGCACTGCAGCAACGTGGGAACTACGCCAGCCTCGGTAACGCGGCGTACAAAAAATTGATGCTGAGTGTAGAATGTACTTCGGGGAGCCCAGGGGGCAAACCGCTGCGCACCCTTGACATCGTGCTCCACTTCGGTGCGCCAACGCCGCAGACACGTCTGCAGCATGCGCAGCTCTGGCTCCGCCACGTGCCGAGGGCGGGGACCCCCGTCGAAGGAGCTCCGGGGGCTCTGGTCGCGGGCGTGACCTTCGTCGGGAGGGGAGCTGCTCGGGGAGCCCAGCCCCAGGCTGCACCAACAAGGCGAGGTCACACATAACTACCGCACCTTCTGGTCTGTATCGTTGCACAAGTCACAATCCCCTATAAACGGTCGTTTTGACTGAAAGATAGGTTGCACGAAGTATAAGTCACAAGGACGGCGTGCAGAATTGCAGCAGGTGCAGACCTATGCCGCCCTGCAGTGGGCCTTCAGCAGGTGTCTGGACGTTCCTCCTTCGTCGTAAATGTTGATATGACCTATGCCCGGCAGTTAAGATCTGTACTTGTTAAAAGAAATGCACGTAGGCTGCGCCGCTCTACGAGATGCATCGACAGAAATATTGGGAAATCTGGTAGCTGTTGGGGAAGGAAACTGCTCAACCTTTCCCGCTGGAAAGCAGGGAGGTTTTGCTGATACCTCAAACTGTGTTACTTCCTCTGTCTCTGAATCCTCTAGATTGGAACCAGTCTCTAACATAAATTAAATGGGCATGGGCCGGCTCAAATTACAAGTCAAGCCACTCAGTTAGGGTTCTTGAACATAAGAAAAAAAACTGTGAGGGAACTATGCCTGTCAACTCAAAGCTAGCAAAATGCATAGGCAGCAGGCACAAAAGCCACCCTTCGCTTTGCAGGGACCTGGCGAGTCCCTCGCCTGCCAACGACTCGTCGCAAAGTCCAAAACCTCCTGCTACAACAGTACGACAAAAAATCTATTTTGATGTCGCATCCCCACGCATGACTCGAGAAAACTGTAAAAGCATTAAGATGTTGCTGAAGCAGTCGATTGCACTTTTGTGCTGAATCAAATTTAGTTTTGTTTAATAGCACAGGTAGATATCGCATAATTGTGGTGGGGACCGCAGCAGAAAAGCTGTAGGCTGCACACACCCAAAGAGCAAAGTTGACATTCGAGGCATTGAAGAAGCTTACGCATCAAACGCTCCTAAAAAGGCAGAATAAGTCCTGCCATTCCAGTAAAAAAATAAAAAATAATAAAAAAAAATGATTGCATTTTTACGTGGTGAATGATGTTGATTGGGGCGAAGCTCTGGTGGTGCTTGTATGCGTAGACGCTGAGCCACAGCATGCAGAGTTTTCATTCGTTTTCATCCATGTCAGAAAGAGAATGTGTGGTATGGAATATGGTTATATATGCATTTGAGCATTTGACCGCAGCACCCTCTCGTCTATAAAAGTTGAGCCAATGCATGCAAAGTTTAACGCAATTATATACGCATTTGACCGCAGCGCCCTCTCCTGTATAGACGTTGAGTGGCTACATGCAACGTTTCATCCATGACATCCCCAACTCTTGAGTTACTACCACATCTCAGAGCCCCCTACTCGTCCCGCAGTCGTGGCCGAGTGGTTAAGGCGACGGACTAGAAATCCATTGGGGTCTCCCCGCACAGGTTCAAATACTGTCGATTGCGCAAACTTTTTTTTTTTTTTTTTCACCACTTATTATTTTTTTTTTTTTTTCTAGACGAGCACGTGAGCTCACGAGCACGATCACAAGCACGAGCACCAGCAAGATCGATGTGAGCACGGACGCCGGACAGACAGGGCTAGACTCTTAGGAGCTTCACCCCTAAAAAATTATCTTATTTAAATTTTTTTTCTGCAGTCTCTCTCTAAAGCTCACCAGGAGCAAACAAACAAAACATTGCCCCTTCCTTGCGCTACTGCGGCAAAAGCAGTGGTAATTCAAAATGCGACAAAGTGCCAAGCAAGACGCGAATGCAGGGCCGCCGTTTCTGCTGCAGCGGCAACTGCAGCAATTGGGGACGAGACATACCGGAGCAAAGAAGATGGAAGATATTCGTAACGAGTGCGTCGGTGTAAGTATAGTACTTCCAGCAGAAAGAATAGAACAGTAAGAGGACAGACAGGCACAATCTATTAAAGAATGTGCCCGTCCGCACTTTCTCCCCTTAGTTCTTAATTCTTTCTGTTAGAAGTAAGATGGAAGAGTCGTGCAAGATGGACGAGCGCGACAACAAAGTGAAAACGAAGAAAGGAAAGAAACAGGGCTGCATTTCTGTAGTGCTCTACAGCAGACTAGTTTGCAGCAAAATGTCGAAATGCACCAGCATTTCTATGTTTCTTCTATGAGGGCCATATTCTGCCGATTGAAGAGAGGCAACCCTCTATGCCTCACTCGGCCATCGGTTGCAGCAGAACGAGCCTGCCTTGCTTCTGTATCGTAGCCAAATGCTTTTTTTTTTTCCCGGCACCTCATTGGCACAACAAACATGCTGAGCATCAGTGGACTGCCGCTTCTGTTCAGCCCCTTCTTTATTTTGTGAAGATTTATGAAGAAAGCCAGAGCACTTCCATCCAGTGTATGATTTCTGTCGTAGATCCTTTTAGAAAGTGTGCCCCCTTTTGGTACAAAACTTGAAAGTATACACCAACTCAACTCTCCTACGTCACGCCGCGGTGGTGGCGCGCCGGACGCACTTCCGGTCTGGTGCGGTGGGCAGAAGTCGCCGTGCCAGACATGTATTCCCGTGTTCCTTTGGAAGAAACGAGACAAAAAACCTGCCTTCTCGTCAAAATGCTGCGACGGGGGCTGTACCAAGAGAGTCTGGAAAGGTTTGAAGATCAGTTTTCATGTGTTTTTGCCCCCTCCGTTCGTCCGAGAACGTGGATAGTAGCCGTGAAAAGGGCAAACCAGACGCTGTCGAACTACGATTGCGTGTGCGGGCAATACCTTGTGGTCGCCAGATGTATTTGCTTTGTTCCAACATAAACGAGAGAAAATCGTCAAGTTGTCCGAACCACCCACGGGTTCAGTGCGTCTTCAAATTCACACGGCCGCCTGATCGTTCGAACTTTCGTCTGCTCTTTCAAACATGTCTGCTTTTTGTCGTCTGCTCGTTCAAACAAAAGCGGCCCGTAGACCAAACTTTGACCCGGTGATTGCAATAAGAAATAATTGCAGGCCTCAAATGACTTTAGTAGGTACGGTGTAAACATTACATACAAGATGTTGATCATTGGTACCAGTGGCCATCACCGACTTGTTACGCTTGGTCTGTTTCCGCTTCCGAATTTCAGTATCGACGTCGATCATCGCCGCTACCTTCTACACTTTTGCAGCACGAGCGACGTCGCTACCGAAAATAGCTAGAAGAATCTCATCATGGTTTTGGCGTCCATTCTGCGGCGTTCATGCGAATGAATCGCCGCACGTCAAATTATTTACGGAAAGTTTAGCGGCGTAACGAGCCTTGATAATTTCGCTTAGGCGATTAAAGTGGTAAGACATTGCGATGAGGACCTAGAATCGACAATTCCAACGCGAAAAAGAGTACGCAGACTCACACAGACGCCGACAACGTGACATTCGAGTGGTTTGTTGACGCGGGACGCGGTGCTTCTTGCCCGTGCCCCATTACGCATGCGTTCGAACTGTCGTCTGCTCTTTCAAAATTGGCTGCTTTTTGTCGTCAGCTCGTTCAAACGACAGCGGCCCGTAAACCAAACGTTGACCCGGTAATTGCGATAAGAACTAAGTGCAGGCCTCAAAACACTTTTGAAGGTTGGTTGGGGTAAGTAGGCTAAGTGTAAACAGATACAAGAAGATGTTGATCATTATTGTTACCAGTGGATGCATCACCGACTTGTAATGCCCAATTCTACTTGCGGTTTTCAGTATCGACGTCCACCATCTCAGCTACGGTCCGCGCTTTTGCAGTCCAATCAACGTCGCGTCTGAAAACAGCGAGTAGAATCTCATCGTGGGAGTCAGGCTTTAGCGCCTATTCCGCGGCGTCCACGTGAAATGAATCGCCGCACGTCACATTATTCACGCAAAGTTTTGCCTCGTTAGTTTTGCTGAAGCCGCTCAAGTAGTCAGTCATTGTTAGGAGGACGTAGAATAAACAATTCCAACGTGAAAAAGAGCACGGGGACTCCCACCGACGCCGACAACAACGCAATTCAATGGTTTGTTTATGGGCGACGGCGGGCCTCTTGCCCACCATCCACCGCGCATGCGCGGCGCCGGTGGCGTCCGCTAGGGGCGCGCCGGTTTGTTTGTAAACATGAGTTGGTGTATAAAACAGAGAGGACCAGGACGGGAACACGACATCTTCCATTTAGCAACAACATTCTATGTTGTTGCTAAATGAAAGATGTCCTGCTCCCGTCCTGGTCCTCTCTGTTTTATACTTTCAAGTTTTGTATCTATTAACCAACACGCTCGTTTTCAATTGTAAGCCCCTTTTGGAAGCTGTGAAATCCCTGAGCAATGACAGACACAAACACGAGCTCCCTGCGGTCGATTGCACCATGGCTGCTTCAGCTCTTGTGCAGTGGAGCAAAAGTCAAAGCTACCCGCCCGCTGTGCTTGCACAGTTAGAAAAAAGTGGGCTCCTCTTTTTCTTTCTGCAATCTGTCTTCTGATAGCTGCTCTATAGTCGGTTACAAGTCAAGAAGGTAGCGGCAAAAGCCCCTCAAAGGGAATCTTGTATTCCTCCGCCACCAATCGCGTCCCGTTGTTTCCGTGACGTCACGAACTGCCCGAACCAATCTTGTTCTGGCAAATGAATATTTTCAACATGGCTGCCGGGCAGATTTTCTACGACTCGAGTATCTTGCAGCAATTATTCTGTTCTTAATGCGGTTTTTCACTTACCCGAGCATACGTCGCTAAGTCGTAACCGCGTCCACTTTTATTCGCAATAGGTTCTGCGCGACAGCGTGAGAATCCAGCGATAGCATTGCCATCGAAAATTTCGATGCAGGAGTAAGGCCTAGTATCGTACATACGTCGAACGCCGTCTGCTTCTCTGCCTCGGGTTGCGCCTCAACATCGTGAAGGCATCGGCTTTTCTTCGCAGTGGTTTCCGTGGAGCGACGTTAAAATGCAGCGGTCACCAAACTCTTCTTTATAAGTGTAGTGGGCTGTGCGGGAGGGGCATAAGTGAACCGCGAACACAGTAAGTGTCTTTACCCAATTTCGACCGTACCTTTGCTGGCGTTAATAAATAGTCTGTCTACTGAAATGACGCTTTCG